CGACCGTGGCGCTAGGCGTTGGGAGGCTTGCCGGGACGCCACGGGGCGCGTCCAAGGGGTCATGGGTCGATGATGGGATGCAGCCCATGACATCACCCGCACCTATGATCATCATGCCAGCTCCCCTTCACGCTTTTGCGACTCATCTGTCGCTTCTGCGACCATCGCACCTGCAAACCAGCCGTATGTGAGATCACACCCACACCAGCAGCTCGCAAAAATCCAAAAATGCAATGAAATGATCCGAGCCTTGTCTGAAACTCACCCGAGCCCCTCGGGACCCCGTCCGAACATGCCAACAAGTTCCATAACACAATACGGACCTACTCGAGGCCTCAAAACACACATAAAAATATCAAAACGATGAATCGCAACTCAAATAAACTTTGAAACTTCAAACTTCCACAACCGATGCCGAAACCTATCAAATCATGTCCGATTGACCTCAAATTTTGCACACAAGTCACATTCGACATTACGTACCTGCTCCAACTTCCGGAATCGGAATCCGACCCCGATATCAAAAAGTTCACTCCCGATCAAACTTTCCAAAATCCAACTTCCGCCATTTCAGGCCAAATTCCAATACGGATCTCCAAATCACAATCCGGACGCGCTCCTAAGACCAAAATCACCCAACGGACCTACGGGAACCATCAAAACTTCGTTCCGGGTTTAAATTCATAAAAAGATAAACTTGGTCAACTCTCCCAATTTAAAGCTTCAACCATGACATCCGTTCTTCCAATTCGATTCCGAATAACCTGAAAAACCAAAACCGACGATTCATATAAGTCAAAATACATCATACAGAGCTACTCACGCCCCATAAACTACCAAACGAAGTGCAAATGCTCAAAACGACCGGTCGGGTCGTTACAGTGTTAGAATAGGCTATCTACATCATACCGAGTGCAGCCCTCACCGAATCCTACATGAATGCAAGATGCTTCGTGCATCTCTTATTTTTGTTATCATTTAATAAACATAGGTGCACTAGACATGATAATTAACAAGAAATTTAGTTTTCTACTAAACCAATTGGTCTCCGTCACTTCAACTTTAAGCTAAGTGTAGTAAGGCATAAAGCGTTGAATTTCTTCTAAACTATTCCTTTGTGTGATGAAATGAACATGTATAGAAACACACAAACATGTAAAAACAGTATAAGAATAATGGATTTGATCAGGAGTCCAGCTATTAGGGTTATGACTCGCACAAGATACCAATATTCATCTGCAAGACTGCAGCAACAAAGCTATGGATTGGATGGGATCAGATATCCATGCGTTAGCTACACCTGAACTCAAGATTTTGGCGCCTCATACTACTAATGGACGTGGAATATTATATCCGATAATGTGGCCCATTTTGTTTTGCTACTACTTTAATATAAGTTGTAACGGAATCAGTTTATTTAATTAATAAGTAATTTCATTTCCATATTATTTTTATTATTTCATTCTAAAAAGAATGATATCTTTTTAAATTTGTTATCAACTTAACTTAAACTCCCAAGTTTACTTTTACTGATAAACTTTTACGGCCCACAAATATTATGACATATTTAAGAATATAGATATTAAAAGTTATTATTCTTTTCTTAAATTTCATACTCTTCACCGTATAAATTGAAACAGATTTTTTTTTAAGCAAGGAATTCCAAGGAGAATTGAAACAGACTTAGGAGCACAGCCAGTCATCAAAAATGCTAAATTGTTTTTGTAAGATACTACATTCGAATGTCTAAATTGCATTTACGTAGTGAGTCCACATGGCTTGTATGATAAGCTTTTATATTTTTTTCTATACATGCAAGCATTGTTGGCAACTCTTGATTTTATCCCTAATCTAAAATTAGCTTTTGTATTTTCTAGGTGATAAGTCTAATTGAAAAGTAAGTTCAGAATTACCTTTGGCACCTAACTAATTGTATTTATCATTTGGTATCCAGTGAATGGAAGAAGTTTTCCTCCCTAACAAAGTCATCTCTTCATCAAATTTCACTAACAATATCTAGTATACTTCTCCCTCTCATGAAAAGGAGATCTCTAACTACGAATCTTGTTTAAGAAGTAATTTACTAATACAAATCAAGATTAGTCTGCAAATTTTCAAATGTAAATAACTTGGTGACACTTACTATTCATGTGATTTACCTATATACAACCCTATATATCAACCAAGTGTCCTTTTTATTCTATTCTTTTATTATGGCCATCTTTTCGTGCTCCTAACTACTTGTAAATTTTCTTCTTGCACCTTTACAACAATTTACATATATAAGCAGTCTTTAATACCTTTTTGTAATCTTCCCTCATATCATTATATAATTAAAGCACACTATCAAACTAAATTTAAATCTTTTTGATTGAATTCATTTTGATATATATAAGATGCAAAAGACTAGTGGAACAGCTGCATGTGCATCATGCAAACATCAAAGAAAGAAATGTACAGAAAAATGCGTATTAGCTCCTTATTTCCCAGCTGAAAAAAACCGAGAATTCAAGGCAGTACATAAGGTTTTTGGTGTCAGCAACATCACAAAAATAGTGAAAAATCTAAAGGAAGATCATGATCGGAGAAAAGCCGTCGAATCCCTAATCTGGGAAGCATTTTGCAGGCAAAAAGATCCAGTTTTTGGTCCTTATGGAGAGTACAAAAGGATTTATGAGGAACTCAAGTTGTACAAAAGCCAATATGAACAAATTCTGCAAATGCCAATTAGCCAAGGGAGTAATAATAATGGCATGGCATATGAAACAACAGCACAAGGATTGGTTAATGGATGGAATATTAATAAGAGGAATGAGAATAACTTGTTATATATAAATGAGAATTCCACTGTGGAATCTTGGTCATCGTATAACAATAAGAATAATCCATTACATCATCACGTCCAGAATATTGAAAAATTAAGAACAGAAAATAATAATGGTTCTATAGTTATTGTGCCTCAACCACAGGCCTATAATGAATTCAACCAACAATATTTTCTGGCAGGTATCTATTCCTAGCACCTTAACATATTCTTTTGTTTTTCAAAACGTTTTAAATAATATATATGCAACGATAATTTAAAGGTTTTTAAGCTATCAGTGTAATTTTAACTTTAGGTTATTACTCGGTCACAAAATAATGTTTGATAGAAAAAGTTATCTGTAATTGACTCTTATTTTCTCATTTCATTTTATGCAACCTATTTGACTGCACAGATTTATTGGAAAAAAAAATTCTTTTAAAATTTATGATCTTAAACATGTCATGATATTTGTATGGCTATTAAAATAATTTTGTCGTTTAAGATGACATAGGAAGTTTATTTAAGTTTTTTCAAATATAAAAATATGTTATTCTTTTTGTAACCTACTAAAAATGAACAAGTGTCGCGTAAAATAAAATAGATAAAGTAAGTAACTATATATTGTGAAAAAAAACAGAAACTGATGATTTACTTTTTGTCTTTCCTTTTCTGTGGTGTTTACAGGTCAGTATAATCCAATAGATTCCAAGTCAAGGGAAAGCATGCTGTGGGAAGACCACTCCTGAAAATCCTGAGTTTTTTTTCCATCTTCTTTATTTCCTTTTTGTTTCTAGTCCTCTTAATCCTCTTTTGTTAACTTTTCTAGCCATTTTATGGATATATATTGCACAAAAGTATTATATGTTCTATGGTCTCTTCAACAAGAAGTTATACCAGTAGTATAATTTAGTGATAAATTTAGGAGCACCGTAGTTGTAGGATTGTGAGGTTAAAGGACAATAAAATGTCTATAAATTTTCTTACGTCGAAACAAACATAATCGACAACTAAGCTGGTGAATTTATCTAATAACTATGTTTTCAGTTTCAAGCTAGTCTATAGTTTATCTGTATGGTGTTCAACTCTTTGCAAATAAGACTTAGCGTTGTAAATCTAAAGAAATAGCAAGCCTGGTTCCGGGAGCAAGGCTTCCAAAGGCAGCGCTATAAGAGCAATACTAGACAAAAAATACAGTTATATTACCTCCGTTCCAGTTTATGTGAACCTATTTCTTTTTTGGCCCGTTCCAAAAAGAATGACCCCTTTCTAAATTTGAAAATAATTTTGCTTAAACTTACAATTCTACCATTAATGAGAAGTTTTTATAACCACACAAATAATCTGGACCCCTTTTTGAATTGTTTAGGACCACAAATTTCAAAAGTCTTCATTTTTTCTTAAACTCCGTACTCAGTCAAACAAGTTCACATAAATTGAAACGGAGGGAGTATTATTTAGCTTGATAGTAAAATGTAGCATAAGTTTTGCTAGGATTTCATATGTTACAATGGTTGTTCAAGTACCTTTTTATAGCTATCCCTAGGGAACAAGATCCTAGGATCAAGCCCCTCTTAAATGACAATAATGGGGGCCATTGACGAATGTGTAACGGCAGGCCATGAATGCCAAAATTCTCTGCAACGGCTGCATATTTAATACATAGGGATATTCTTCATTAAATGTCATCCGATGACAAACATTTATTTGCCTATGTTGACTGCGTTCCCTTCGGGATCTACCCGATACCAACCGAAGTTGTTGTCCTCAGTCTTGGCTCCTAGTTGCTTCATCTTTCGCCCTCCCTCTGGTTCCATGTGTCATGTAATCATTCGAGCATTTAATATAAACCAATTTTACCGTATACATGTATTCATGTCCAATGTATCCAGGAGCCTTTTGGTTTCTTCTTCTTCTTCTTCTTAATTGCAAAACACCACTGTTGGTTGTGCTTAGGTTTTTTTCTTCTTCTTGGTTGCAAAATAGGTTTGTTAGATTTGTTGTTGTTTTGACAATTTGATGATTGGGGTTTGTTCTTTATGATATTTAAAAGTTACTTTTCGAATTTGAGTTCATTTGGAATAGATTTGGGTATTGAATGTGTATTGGATTGTTGAAATTCGAAGAACGGATTTATGTTTCAGAACATGTTATGTTTCAAAACTTAAGATTCGAAATCTAAAGTTGCATTAAAGAGATTGTACTACTTAAGATTTGAATTTATGAAGTTGCATTAGAAAGATGGAAGAACCTAAGATTTGATTTCTGATGTTGAATTGAAGAGACAGAACTACTTTAGATTCCGGTGGGTAAATTTTGCAATTTTTTATATAATACGAGTATAACTTCAATGATTGTCCCAAAAGTGAATATATGTGCAAATGCCCCTTTTTTAAATAGCAACATCTAGATGAGATGCACCCGCCCAAATTAAAGAAGTGTGTTCGTCCTAACAAGATATATTAGACTTGGGCCTATGGTCATACTCATGAGTAGAAATGGTGTGGGGTAGCCACTTTTTAATGTGCTATTTAGTTTTTATTTAATATTTTTAATGTGAGCAAAAATAGCCACTGCTTTATTAAATTAATACGAAAAGATAGTTTTACCCTTTTGTCACGACCCAAAATCCATTAAGGTCATGATGGCGCCGGACACCGCCGTTAGGCAAGCCAAAAATAAATACTTGATTTGGTTCTCATTTTTAATACTTTTGAAATCATATTTTCCTTCGATTAAATAGTAAAAGATGGAATTCACAGTGTAAATAATAATATTCTTAATAATTTCAATACAGAACAACATATAATCACCCCAAAACTCGGTGTTACAAGTGCATGAGCATCAACTAAGAAGTAAAAATAAAGTACAACATCTGTCCGGAATATAACTTAGACAGGAAGAATACAAATAACTCTGAAGGAGACTCTGCTTGCTGCGGGTTGCAATATGGAATGCAGCTCTCGTAAATCCCCGTATGCATATGCGCCTCTGCTCTCACAAGGCCACCAGTCACATATGTACCTGCACAAAAATATGCAGCAAGTATAGTATGAGTACGTAATCAACATGTACCCAGTAAGTATCTAGTCTAACCCCGGAGAAGTAGTGACGAGGGGTCGACATCGACACTCACTAGTGGTCCAAAAATATCAAGTACAGTAAGGAGGTGAGAAAATACGAGGCAAAGTAAATAAACAAAATAAACAAGTGTAAATATGTGGTACAATTATCCTCCTTACAATAAACTCAAGCTCTTAACTNTAGCATGGTGTGAACCTAAGTCTACCCAGATAATAGCATGAATTTAACTACGTACGGACTCTCATCACCTCGTGCGTATGTAGTCCCCGCAACAAGTTGTACACATCAAATATACCACCTAGGGGTAGCTTCCCCCTCACAGAGTTAGACAGGAGACTTACCTCACTCCGACGTTCTAAAACTGGCTCCAATACCTCCCTATCACCTCGAACCGGTGACCGCCGATCAAAACCTAGTCAAATAAGATGCAACCCAATCAAAATATACTCTAATACTCATAATTAATCAATTTCTAACAATTTTTAATTCCGCTCGAAAAATCGATAAAGCAACCCTCAGGTCCATGTGCCCGGATTCCGAAAATATTCGAAGACAAACACTACCCATAGTACTACTAGCTCAAATATATAATTTATTCTCAATTTCATGCCCAAATTCGTGATCAAAATCCAAGAATACCAATTTCTAGGTTTTTCTACAAAATCTCTAATTTTTACTAATTTTTATGTTTAAATCCCTATATAAACCATGTATTTAACCCAAAATGAGAAGAAGTCACTTAGCCCATAATAGAGGATGAAGATGGCACTCCAAACCTATTCCAAAATCGGCTCCCATGGACAAAATGAACTGAACTTGAACCCAACTCTCGTTTTAAAGAAAATACTACCCAGCCACGATCTTCGAACCAGCGGTCCAATAGCCGCTTTTGCGGCTCCGCACCTGCGAAAATTCCATCGCAGGTGCGGTTCAAGCTCAGCCCAACATTTCCCGCTTCTGCGCCTCCACTTCTGCTGCTCTTCGTGCACAGGTGCGGTCCCGCTTCTGCGGAACTTGACCGCATCTGCGGTCCCTCTTGGCCGCTTTTGCGGCTCCGCACCTGCGGCCAAAACCTCGCAGGTGCGGTTACACCAGATACCAGCTGCCTTAGCATTTTCCTAAGTCCAAAAATTGATCCGTTAAGCAACCGAAACTCATCCGAGGCCCCCGGGACCCCAACCAAACATTCCAACAAGTCCTAAAAACATCATGCAAACTTCGTCGAGCCTTTTGGTCACATCAAACAACGCTAAAAACACGAATCACCCTCCAATTCAAACTTAATGAACTTTAAAATTTCAAACTTCTACAATCGATGCCGAAACCTATCAAATCACGTCCGATAGATCTCAAATTTTTCACACAAGTCGTAATTGACATTACGGGCCTACTCCAACTTCCGGAATTGAAATCCGACCCCGATATCAAAAAGTCAACTCCCGGTTATACTTCTAAAAACCTTCAAATTCCAACTTTTGCCAAATGACCTACGGACCTCCAAATCTACATCTGGACGCGCTCCCAATACCAGAATTACCATACAGATCTATTCCCAGACTCGAAATCCCAAGCGGACATAAATAATATTGAAATGCACTTCAACCCAAATTTAGGAAATTCTTCCAAAAATGACAACTTCCATAATAGGCACCGAAACGCTCCCGGGTCATCCAAAACCCGATCCGGACATACGCCCAAGTCCAAAATAATCATACGAATCTGTTGGAACCTTCTAATCCCGATTCCGAGGTTGTTTACTTAAAAATCAAAACCTTAGTCAATTCTTCCAACTTAAAGTTTCTGAAATTAGAATTTTCTTTCCAAACTAACTCCGAACTTCCCGAAATTCAACTCGGACCATATGTATAAGTCAAACCGCTGAATGGCGTGCTAGAGCTCAAAATGACCGGTCGGGTCGTTACATTCTCTCCCACTTAAACATACGTTTGTCCTCGAACGTGCTAAGAACTGCTCTGGAGTTGTCCGAAATCATTGTTTAACACCTCGTGCACCTACCCGTGCTACAACAACCCAGTTGAGCACATTTGCTCGAGCAAACCTGAAAATCCTCCCTTTTATCTGTCAAATAAGCCTTAGAGCAAAATTCCAACATCTGAAATTCTCTACCAGGTCTGTTTCCAACATACGAACACCATATCCATCACTACATGATGTACCAACATATGATTGTATACCCCTACTAAATTATTACCATGCACCACGTAACTCATTTGCCTAAGGCAATCTTTCCAAGGCACAACAACTAAAATTTCCACTGACCCGAAGCTCGTGGTGTACCTCATGACCAATTAAGCCTTGCTTTAACTCTCGCAATACTGCCACGACAGAGAAGATGTGTAGAACTCATAACCACCTACCGAATCACACTTTATGAAGTCTCTCCTCCCGACAAGAACCATTACCTCATTCTGGACTGAATAACAATATTTACTCTTTAATATGCTTCATATAAATTTGATCGCACTGATCCCAGGTCCAATAATCTCGTTTCACCCAATACAAGCTGCTCAGGTAGTAAGCTATCTCAGACACAACCAAAAGTCTCATATGATGCCACAATGTGCCAACAAGCTACAAACTCAAAGGTGATACATAAGGAAACAAACTCTGGAAAGATCTACTAAACCCATGTAACTAATTTAAA